AAAAGAAAAAAAAAAAAAAAAAAAAAAAAAGGAAAAAAAAGGAAAAGAAAAGGGAAAAAAAAAGAAAGGCAAAAAAAAGAAGAAAAAGGGAAAAAAGAAGAAAAAGGAGAAAAAGAAGAAAAAGGAAAAAAAGAAGAAAAAAGAAAAAAAGAAGAAAAAGGAAAAAAAGAAGAAAAAAGAAAAAGAGAGAGCAAAGCATACTGATGCAGAGCTATAATTAGAATCAGAGCACACCATGAGTCACTAAGTGCTGCAGAATCCAGTGGAAAGCAGAAAAATCTTCTGGAAGGAAGCAAGAAAAAGTTCAAAATGTCGAGCATATTGGAGTTCGTGTTTTGCCTTGTTAAAGCCGTCATGAGAAGATGAGGGAAGGCTCTCAGGCCATTACTGAAAGGTTTTGCAGAGGAAGTCCCAGAAAAAGGTACAGAATCTGCTGGCCTTATCAAATACCACAAATCTTAAAAAAAAAAAAAGGACCCACATTAGGCTATTCTACTGTCTTGCTGCCAGCTTCCCCCTTCCTTACGTGTATATTTTGAAGACACTCTGTTCCATCTCCCTTCCACCACATTCAGCACGGCAGTCCTCGTGATGCCACGACTCTAAACCAAGCACGTCACCAGAATCAAAATGACCAAAAAACAAAGCATAAGATTTTGCAGGGAAATTGTAGCCTCCTGTGCCTCATCTGCATCTGTACAGACGTATCATCTAGAGAAAGTATCCCTGAAGTTGTTTGTTCTGATTTTTTTTTTTTCTTGAGATGCTTCCTGCTTACCCAATGGTTTTGTCATTACAAGAAATCACTTGTGGGTTGTCTAATTTCTGTTCTACTCCTTTTGCACCGGTCTATCTGTTCATGTGCAAGAGCAATCTCCTCTGCCTTTTGTGGATTACTGAAATCCATTTATATAAAGGCTGGGATTTAAAACAACAGGCTAGCTTATAAAGCTACCAACATATGTCCAACGGTACTGCCTGTGCATCCACACGTATTATATCCTAGATTTCAAACGCTCGATCTCTCAGCCCACTGCCTGCACAATATCCTTGGGTGCTTTTATTCTAAGCTTTGACAGCAAGCTCACAGTCACTTTGTTCAATTTTAAACCGCACTTCCTAGCTGCTCAAAGTGAGAAAAGGTGGCTGCTATAAATTTTTTAAGTCTGTATTTTTTACCTCCTGGGATGGACAATAAATTTTTGTCCTGTGCTTCACATCTGATCAAAGAGTGGTATGCGAGATAGACGCAGCGCGTTTGTACATGTCCTATTATTTAAAATGACCAGCATTACATCTTTTCCACCACTTTCCTTTGGGCATCTGTTAACTCTAACAATTTGCAATTGGCTTTTTTTTTTTTTTAAATTAACAAAAAAAAAGGAATAGTTTAGTGGAACTGGCGAGAAGCGCATAATATTTAACTCAGTAGCCCCCATCCTCTTCTCAGAACTTGAAGAGCAGCATTGAAGAGGCCACGTTAAGATAGACTCCAGGTATCGATTCTGGAGCCCTGGTTTACACCGCCAGCTGCCACCTTCAGGAGGGCAGACACCCTCCCTTGCCAACATTTCCCGAGCAGGTCTGAAGCACAGACTGTGCTCTCTTCTGGTGGTCACATGCACACATGGAGTTTGCTTCCACATTCCCACAGATCTTTGCCACCTTCACCATCAAGCAAGCATCCTCTTGGTCCCTTCCAGATGAACTCAATGTTGTCGAAATCACTGAAGTGGTTGAGAAACTCCAGCCCCAACTTCAAAAGATGTTTGGAAGCTGTGGATAGACAACCCCTTCCAGGCTGTTGTGCAAGGTTCCAGATGCTTTTAACCACCCTTCACCTTTCTGGGTTTATGCTCTCCATGATCTGCTACGTGAGTTGCTTCTCTATTAGCAACTGTATGTTTTCAATAAGCCAGCTTATTTTGAACTCAGTGGGTCCAAGAACAGTTTTATGAGCAGTTTTACTTGCAGATGTTACTGTAGCAGGGGTAGTCACCTCTAGGACAGCGAACTAAACAGCTGGGACAGGTAACTCGTACTGTCACCGCAACATCTGGATGTGGATGACTATCTGCAGTCTCAGGTAGTCAATTCCTCTTTTTTTTTCTTCTTTGTTCAAGTCACATTCCAAAGTGCTTCAGAATAAAATTTTCAGGTCTTTCCACTTGACAGAGAACCGTGCAGACTGAATGTGTTGATGACTGGGAGCTACACTCAGCAGTATTAACCTACAGTTTTACTCCTCAGTCACCCTAGCACCTTGCTGGAACCCCCCCATCTCCCTCCTGGGCTCTACACCCAGATTTCCCTCCTGTAGATACACAAGGGAAAGCTGGGGAGAAGAGGCTTGCGTGCACCTACGGTCTCAGGCTGACAAAAGCTAGGACAAGCCAGGAATTTGGAAACCTAAGCTTCATGGTCAAGAAAGTCAGTGGCACTCAGACTACACACAGAAGGGACATTTGTAAAGCTATACGTGCTAGAAGCATGAATTTAAATCCCCTCTCCCTCCATCCTACCCCGTACCAGTAGTGCTGTGCTGGCAAAATCCCCAGTGTGAACACAGTTGTGCCAACAGGAGAGACCTTTGCCAATTTATTTTATGCCGTTCGGTAAGGTGATTTACCTTTGCTAGTGAGGAGGAGGCTACGAGGCAGAGCCACTCCTCAGAGCGAGCTCTGAGATTTGGAAATGTAGCCACAGGTCACTTTTGAAGTATTGGGAGATTTTTGTTGGTTTTTTTTTTTTCTTTCCTTTTTTTTTTTTCTTTTCCCTTTTTTAAACAAATAAGGTCTGCTTGCCAAGCTCTGTTTAACTTGGTGAGAATTACAGATCACATTCTTCCTGGAGCAAAAGGTCTGAAGTGTAGTCAGCTGTAGAGCCTGAACTATGAAGAAAGCACCCCTTAAAAGCTACATGTCAAGTAGTCCCACGGCTGCGTGTTTTACATGAGGGTGAGGGCTGGGCGGTTTGGGAGGCTTAATGGCTGCGCTGAGTAAATGGTGAGCAAAAAAAAAAAAAAGAATATTTACTTACCAAACCAAGCCTGTTGCTCTCCTTGGACTTCTATAGCCAATCCAAAGTCTGCCAGTTTTACTGCTGCTCCCTTGGATTTGCTAGCTAAAAGTAAGTTCTCAGGCTTTATTCAGAGAGAGAAAAAAATTGAGACGAAAAGGTAAGTACATGTATTTTAGACAGGTTTTCACTTTTTTTTTTTTTTTTTAGTTACGGTTGTCTGGAAAAGAACAAATACTTAGAGGAGTGAAAAAGAGAAAAAAACCCACGCGTTTTCTCTGTGAAACTGCAAAACCCTGCACTTCCCATTCCTACTTGGAAAGAACCACCAAGCCTGTAAACGGCCTTCGCGATCCCATGACGGCAAGACTAAGGACAGCGTGCAGCTCTGCTAGAGGAGGAGGCTGGCCAGGCTGGTCATACGGAACCGCGACGCCCGCTGGCCTTGATGGGACAACTCAGAGACTCCTAAGAGCTCAACATGGGAAAAACGCTGCAGAAGAAGCCCTGAGGACACATGTTCTCCCATTACTACTCCAACCAACACAGTTTGCAGGATTAGGCGCCTAGAACTGTCAAAATGTAAATACATTTTCGCATGGCAGCTTAACAACACCAGCCTTATTCTTTGTCTTTAGAGGGCAGGTGTATTTACATTGCAAGTCCCTCAGCAAAACCCGCACGGCCACGTTCGTGCTTGCGGAGAACCTGTCACAAACACAATCAAAGTTCACAGAAGTTCCCAATCAGCTTTTTTTTTCAGGGTACGTTGGTCACATCTGGAAGCAAATGCTACGGTACACTTGCATTAGAAAGTCAAGGATTTGAATGTAAGAACAGCGCTCATTCTCCTGTTCACAACGTAGCCTTTTAACTTCATTTAGCAAATATATCCATGCTAATTGTCCAAAGGTAGCTTTATTCTGCGAATCTTAACTTTTTTTCTTTTTAAACAACTTACAAAATACTGTAGAATTCAGCAGATTATTTCAGAGAACTGTGACCACTGTAGCATTTTCTTGCCATTTCTTTCTTTCTTTCCTATCTCCATTGTTTTTAAAAAAGGTCTTGTTCCACCTTTACGTAAGAACAAAACCTCACTTCCAAGGGTATTGCCGTGACTCTTCCAGAAGCAATTTTTGTAGTGATCTACCACAAGGGAATTCACTATATCCAGTCTCGCACTGGGGACCTGATCCTGCAAACTCTTAGGAACGCGCGTTTCGTTTTAAACCCAGCAGCAATCGCATAGGCTCCCAAGGGACTCTTTACGGGATTACAGTTAATCCCATGCAGGTACGGAGCTTGGGAACAATTAAGATCATAAGCTTCTTTCAGCAAAGGCTATCTTTAACACATCTGTCGAGTATGCAACGAAATATGCTCCAGCCTAATTAAGACCTCAACCACTGTGACATTAATTAACACCACAACTGGCCCTGACAAACTCTTTAGTCTAAAGGTGGTTTTCTCCCTCTCGCCAAACTGTAAAGGAACATCTTTTCAGCAATTGACAAACACCATTCTCCCACCCTTCCCTTCGTTGCTTTGTCATAGAAAAGACATTATGAAAAGCCTTTCATCAGCAGTTACTTGATGAATCTTCTGTTCCACATTTTTCAAAATTGAGATCTCTCAGAACAAAACGTAATCTTCATATTCACTTAAAATGATCAGTAACCGCTTCCACGACATTATATCAAGGACCGACTGAATAGCTGAGGGCTCTTCTCTAGGCTCATCGATGCCGATGTAAGCAACGTCACGCTACTTGTCACTGAGCTACACTGATTTCCACGCAGAGCCACGCAGCTCTTGGAGGTTTCCTATCAGAGCAAGAGAAGTTTACAGTAAGTACCTCCTGGGATGCACTTCTTCTATAAACCTCTTAAAGCAATGGACGCTCCTATTTGGTTGCGACCTTCGCCAATGCCTCACCCTCTCGGTTGAAACACAAGCACGAACCTACCCAGCGCGTACCACTTCGCAACACGGGATTCCATTCAAAATAGTTGGTTTGTGTTTTCTGCCACTGGTTCTTTTTTTTCCGGTTTGTTGATTTTGGGTTGGTTTTTTTTCCCCCCTTGGGATTTTTTTTTTTTTAAATTCCATTACGCATCTTTACTCTGCCAATCGAAGCGCCCTGCGGAATTACCCTTGCCACAGGTGGCTATGTTCCAACAGAAGCTGAAGCAGATTCCCCGATTTACTCCTCCCAAAAGGCCAAAGACAGCGGCCTTTTGGGCACTGTTGTGTGGGGCTCCGCGCTGAAGCGCCGCTGTCATTTCAGAAAATTATCACGCATGCACTTAGAATGACTGCAATTACTTGGAAAACATGAGCAGCCCAGCGCGGGCCACGCAGGACTCGCACTTTTGGATTCAATACCGTCACCTTCTGTTACCGGCAGACCTGCTGCAGTCAAGCATGTCGAATGGCCATCTTAACTACTGAAATTACTTACAAATAAATTAATGTGATTTATGCCTTATTCTTCCAGAGGTCTTTAATTCTTAGAGACCAAGTACTTACGCCTCTGTGTATTTTTTCCTTGAATGTAACGAGAGCACCTGCTTTCTAGTTTGGTTGCTTGGTTGTTCTTAATTTAACTTCAACGGGGAGTGCAAGAGGGCCGTAGACATAGAGTTTCACAAAAGCAGCAATGCTGCTGACTGCCAAGAATTGAACTTCCTCCATGGAAGCGCACTTTTCCCATCTGCTAAAGACAGACTGCCACCAACATGTTAATTTTTTCTGGATCGAGGATCCACCACCATTCTGACTTATACCGAGGACAGCAAACAGAACAGCAACAAGCACTTCTGCAGGTCATAAGAAGCTGCAAAAGCTCCTCTCTGTTTGCTACTAAGTTAGGCTAAAAGGAAAGTTAAATAAAACGAGATTGTCCAAAATCTCCTTCTCTCCTTGCCCTCCCCGCTCCCAGACACGCCATCAAATTGCAGTCTGAGTTATCGAAAAAAAAAAAAATCCATCAAGTTTTGTAGTTTAAGGATCCATGCCGGGCCATGACCATCTTCCACTTGTCTTGCAGCTCTGGTCTTGGGCCTTGGCATCTTCTTTTCGGTACGGAGAGTTCTGCTGGGATCTCATCACAGACCTTCATTTCACTCCCTGGTTTTTTTTTTTTCTTTTGCCACAAAGTAGTAACCAGGGAAGGATGGTCTTCTGCTTCCTGAAGTCTTCCCTTTCAGAAATGAAACGGGGTGCTACAGCTTGGCAGAACCATTTTTTTCTCACACTGTTTTTCCAATTCATCCTGGATTTGCCAGAGTAAGAAATCCACACACGGTTTTGAGCAGAGAACAGCCGAATTTAATGCATTTCCCAAAGAAAAAGTTATTTTTTGTGAATGTGTGAGGAGTGCTAGAAAGCATTCCTTATTCTGTCAGCTTGCATGGCTACGATCGTTTTTTTTGTTTTGTTTTGTTTTTTTAGAATTCCTTTCCATGCTGGAAGCAGGGTGAGGAGAGGATCTGCTGGAGCAGCTGGACAAATCTGACATCCTTTCATTTAAACTTGCTCCACGTTATCCAGCTGCCACGCAAGCTTTATGGCCTGGATAGAGACTTGTCAGTCTCCTGTTGCACAACCGTGGCACGGGAAAATCCAGAAGCGCAAGATGGGGAGAGAGTTTTGCCTGCGTGCCTTTGAACTCCCTCAGGCTCCCTGCGCTTTCAGAGCGTAACCCTTTACGTTCCTACAGGGCGACAATGAAGACTTCCTAAATTTGGACAATAACAGTTATTCGGGAGCGACGGACGGCAAGAAAGATGACGGCATTCTGATTCCAACATTATTAGTGACGATAACTGCTGGAAGACTCCTGGGAGGAAATTCCTGCTCCCCATAACTCATGCAGAAATGAAAATAAGAGACAAAGAGGCTGTGCCAGAAGGAATTTGTGTGCTTCACGGCCTAAGCCCACACGCCATTTTTTCTCTGCCTTTGCAAGGGATCTGATATTTCAGACACTGCGCTTCCATTTGATTGCAAAATAAACCATCGCCTTTTACTTGAGGATGTTGATGCCCAAGTGCCCAAATTAAGGCCTCTCCCTTAGCCACACGGCTGGCTTACTCCCAGCTTTGAGACAGCTTTGTCTCTCTGAGCTTCCCAGTAAAACAAAACGATCTTTACTTGTTTCTTTCCATGCCGACATGCTTTAAATGCAGAGAGCATTTCTGCAGCAGACGTCTCCAGCCATTTGGGTATGTATGTGGTTAAGAAAGAGGCAACGCTCTTCTCAACACAAGGGTTTCCTTTCTGAAGCTTCTATCCCAACGCTACCACTTGTCCGGAAGGAACTCCACTCCTCGGGTGACCCTGGCGAGAACACCGTGGAAATTCCCGCTGTCTGAAGACGTTCTGTAGCCCAGCCATCATCTGGAGGGGAGAGAGGTCTCTGTGCCAGCAATGTCATAGCGGCTGGCCTTCCGTCACCGAAACGCATGACGTGCCAACGCTAGTGTGCTTCCCAGGAGCACTCCGAGTTATGCTTGGGACGGATGGGAATCTCCCCACAGAACCCTGCCCCAAAAGCTCCGGATGCCGGAGAGGAAGACCGCGTGTTCAACGAATACAACCAAATGCTCCAAAAGCAACTTCTGTTCTGCCTGGTACTGACAAAGAGGTGCCAGCGGATGCTTGCACAGCCCAGATCTGGATGGCTAAGTATGGGCAAGCCTTCAGCAGATATTTTCCAGGGAATGCTAGTGGTTCGTTCTTGTGCATAGGTGAAGCAAAGTTTAAAAAAAAAAAAAAAAAGGATAAAAAAGAAGGAAGGAAGGAAACTGTTTACATTTCCATGGCTGAAGGCTCTGATTTGCTGGGGTTTGCGGCTCTCCGCTGCGGCGGGGCGGCAGCAGCACTCACCTTGAGGTCGCGATGGACAACGCCCATCTGATGGCAGTGCAGCACAGCCTCCAGGATCTGCTGAATGCAATGACTGCATGCAAACACCAGAGCACGACGGCCTCAGGCACCAGCCTCGGAGACATTGCTTCGGGTCGGCCGCTGCCTTTGGGGTGTAATTTAGTTTTGTTTGGTTGGGTTTTTTTGTTCTTTTCTGGTTTTTAATGACAATTTTCTAAGGAAAATTGTCAGAAAAACGTACGAATTTTGCCAATAATTCGTGGCCGAGGTCGTATTAAACATTCGGCGTCCTCCGTACGTTTTGCCCCCCTTTCCTTACCGCGAGCGCTCTCAGAGGCGTTAGAAATTGTAGCGGCCATTGAGGTAACACAAAACCCCGCTCCGAGCGAGGTGTTTTAGGTAAACATTTAGTGTTTTAGGTAAATCATTAACTTCTCGCCGCCCAATTCGGCTGGCGGTTAGCATCGCTTGCCTGAGGGTTCGTCATACTCTAACGCAGCAGCGTGCGACCGGCTGTTCTGCTACTGCAACCCGGGGTTCTCAGAACAGAAGCGGCGGTTTAAATCTGCAAGCTGACATACATCACAGCCAAAGTTCACCTCCGTGTGCGTACACAGCGATACATGGACACCCAGAACAGAACACCAGACACGTTCGACAGCATGGGGTCAATCCAGCGCCTTGGAAGGAGACAGGTTTTTTTGTTTTTTTTTTTTTTTTGGCAACCATTCCCCCTTTTGCCATGATGTATATTAGGCCTGTAGACTTGCAAACTGGAAAGAGGCGTCATGCATGAATTGTTCGTCTAGTTGTTTTGAGGGTGAGTAGGATAGGCAAGGGAACATCGCAGACAACCCACCCTCTGCCCATCCCCAGTGGAAAAAAAAAAAAAAAAAAAAAAAAGAAGAAGAAAAGAAATCCCCCAAAACTCTTAGATCCAATGTTTGGGCACCAGATACTGACCTTCAGGTCTCTGTGAACTATGCCATTTAGATGACAATGATTAACACTTTCTAGAATCTGCTGTATACAATGACTGCAAAGATACAAGGGCAGAATGGAAGGGAGAACATTTTAAAGGCACATAATCACATCAAATACAAAACAAAATAAAACTTTAAAAAAATAGAAAGAACAAAACCAGTTTTACACCTCCTGACAAGTCTCGATTGCACACTGAACTGGAACAAAAGTGTGTTGAATATAGAGATATTTCCAGCTCTAACGCATCCAAAAACCAAAGCAAAACAAAAAAAAAAGAAAACCAAAATCAAAACCAAACCAAAAAAGACATTTAACATGGAACATATGACACCTATGAGGCAGAATCATTAGGTTGTATTTTCATTCAGCAGTATGGAAGCTTTTTCCAGTTTCCAAAAACTGCTACAGGAAAAATCAAGTGGAGGCAATAAAACATTTAGTCCTATGTTTTGGGTTTTTTTGTTTAAATTTTTACAGTGAAGTTAACATTACAACAAGGGCTGAAACAAGAAAATGTTCAGAAATGAAGTGGCAGACATAAAACAAATGAAACCAAGTCAAAAGCTAAGGAAAAGCAAAACATTTCTCATTTTGAACCTAATGGTTTCTTAAAAACTATTAGTAGAATAAAGCCAAGGCGTTCAAAAAGGTGGCATGCGTTTTCATTTAGAACGTCGTCAAGCGCTAGCTTCGTTAGGAGGCACTCAGGAAATGGACATCCACATTAAAAATGCCGACAAATGTTTCATTTGGGTGCTTTAAATAATTCAATTAGCACCTATTTTTCCATGCCCAGGTTTGCAAGTTTTGGCCAGCCTAGGATGCCAAAAAGCACAACTGAAGTATTCGTCTTTTAGAGCGCTGGAATTTTTTCAGATGTTTTTCAGCACCACAAGCGCTTATATTTTTTTTTGTTTTTTGTTTTGTTTTTTTTTTAAAGATAACCCTTGTGGCAGAAGTCAGCGACTATAAGTAATACATAGTAACCAAGGGCCAAGGATTTGATACTGCTCATCCAAACCGTTTTGACCATGGAATTCAGAAGGAATGGTCATAAATCAGGAACTGGAGCCCAAGCCTGAAAACCCTTTCTTACGCGAGTAGTTCCCAGCTCCCTGAGCTGGTCTGCTTATGTGCGTAAAGACTGCTCGCGTGAGTAAGGGCTTGCAGGAGCAGACCAGTATTATCAGTCCTAGGATATGCATCTATAACGTCCATTAACTATTTCTACAGGGATACACGCACACACACACAAATATATATATATAAAAATATATAAAAATACAGAGATGCATGATAACTAGATATTTCACTTATTTGGTCAAGTTTTTACTGAATGTGTAAAATGCATATATATATATGTATCTATCTCCTATATATATATGCACAGCGCCTTCCAATATGTCGTAATTCTAGAACAGAAAACAATCATTGCAATTTTTCCTTTTAAATCACAAGTAACTTCAAAACACACAATGACACCATATGCTGGCCTTTGGCATCAATATTAGAAATTTTGCTTGAATCACAGTAGGCAAAAAGTCATTCACAAATTTTTTCAACATAGCTCCTCTCCTTCCGCCCCACTTAAATGACTGATTCTGTTTTTCCTTCCGTAGTGTGTTTTGCTATGTGTTGTTCCACATTTAAATGCTTAAGAGTAATGACGTTATTGCCATTCCTACAGAAATTATTAAGAGCAATAAGCAGTGGAAGCTTCCCAATATTCAGAGTAACTTCTTGCACTTAATGCTTTCCGGTCATCTGCCACTTAATTCCACATGTAAAGGAATAACCGAAAATTAAAGGTGCTGAACACGTATCAACGGTGGTGTGTGACTATGAACACACAAAACCATGAGGGTTCCTTAAATTTACTCTGAGATAATTTTTCTGTGAGGACTGTAGCGGTAAAACATGTTTTCTTTAAAGTAACTGACCACAATGTTTAAGGCTTATAATTATAGAAGAATATTTAGGATTTACTAAACATGAGGGCAAACAGATTCTGAGATGGAAAAATGGCCCTGATGCTTTATGTCAGCATCCAAATTATGATAATCGCCAACTTCTTCTTCAAGTTTTTCAACAAGCACTTGCAGAAAATTGCTAGGGATTTCATATTTGAGCTCCGACTATGAGATGCACAGTATAATTGCTTATTGATGAAACACAACAGAAATGTTTACACATGAAAAGGAAATTAGTGCTTCTGGACCGAGAACAAAAATGGTATTTAATGTAAAATTCTTTCAAGACCAACATCTATTTCAGCCTTTGATCAGCAAATGTACGAATCCGTAGATGAGATAGCTGAAACGTTGCGTCCAGTTTGCAGAGGAGAAAACTGGGTGACCTTTTAACAACTTTGCACGTTTACAAAGATCTCAACAAACTGAAATCCACTTTCAGCTTTTTCAGATCAGCAGACGTCAGGACTTCATACAAGTTCTCCACCACACAGTCGTGAGCTCAAATCGCCAAACTGTGCCCTTCCAAGTTTAAGAGGACTCCAGGAGAAATCCTGGAGTCTCACGGACTGTGCCAGTGAGCCTGATGCCAAATGCCATGAGCTATTTAAGTAACTGTCTGAGAATTATTAAGGGTAACACTAGAAAAACAAATTACTTACCTGGCATCTGCTTCACTATAATATTCTCTTGCAACTATATCTTCAAACAGTTCACCTCCAGTGACTCTGTTAGAAAAAGCAAGATGGGAAAGGAGATTTCAGAAGTGAAAACGCGCACCTTAAATTAACTTGACAGGGAGAAGTCAGAGAGGAATAACCAAAATATCTGTACAGAAATGCAAGAGGTCTTGACCAGCAAGGCGAAGGAGCTCAAGTGGAAGGTTTTTCCATCCAAAGCATTACATGGATAAAAAGGACGTGGTGGAAGAGCAATCGTAACTAGAAAATAAAAGCCAAGAGCAGCAGCTTATAGAGCCAGACGCCGTACATCAGTTAAGGCTGCCAAGAGCAAGTATTAGTAAAACTACAAGGAACTGGCCAGCAAGGAAGGCTGCGGCTGAAGTGCAGAACAGCTCAGGATAGACCACGAACCGCAGACAGATGTAAGAAAGGAGAACACAATGATGCTAAAAAGGAAAAAGGGTCTTCAAGCGTAGGTCAAAACACAACAGAGGTGTACCCGTGTGCCAGACCGGCTTGCTTTTTGTGCTTCTGCTCGGAGGAGGATTACGGAGTTGGAAGGAGAGTATCCGTAGAAGCAGAGTACCTTAATCAGTTTAATGGCAGATTTTTTTCCTAGAAAATGTTCAGTTCTCTGAGAAAGTAGGAGTAGTGTACTCAAAGTGCCACTTAAAATAATTTAAGAGGCTTTAGTAGTACGAGGGAAGACCTGTACAATCCAGAGGACCAGTGACAGAAGCGACTGGTGCATGGTTGCATACGTCGGATTTCATTGTACAACCAGTGGTTTCATAGCAGAAAGTGGTTAATAAGAAATAAAACCGTGTTGTTATAACCCAAAGATGACAGTCCAGAAGGAGTCACCAGCAGGGTGCTGCCACAGGCTTGGAATGCATTTGAAATAGGATGATGACAGTGTCCTTAGGTACAGCAGTAAAATCCCTCCTCGTATCGTACACAGTTCTGGTCACTCACGTTCAGAAAAGGGAATTGAAAGAGCAATATGAGCAGAAAATTGCTACTAGGCTATCCGCTCGCTCACTCATCATAGCTTCTCAGAGAAGCAAAGCAAAATAAAAGTTTAAGAGAGATGAAGATAAACACTTAAGCCAAAGAGCATAAACCGTGCTCTCCACAGAGGAGAGCTGTAAGGGACAATATTGGTACAAAAATAAATAAGCATGCCATACCTGTGAATAAAAAGAGGGTTAAAATCAGAAATTATCCAACAGTCATAAAACTGGTGTAATGGAACAGGTTGTGGTAAAGTAACGGAGACAGATGCTCTATTTTTAAGATGAAGATTGATGAGCTCCTAAATACAGTCGTGAAACTTGGCTGCCTGCGTCAACAAGAGCGGACGGAAAGCCACAGGAAGACCTCTCTTGTATTACACTCTAACATTTCTCTTTGACAGAACACACCAGCGTACTTTCACAGCCGAATGCAAATCTTTATACATTCAGGTGCTGTATTGAGCGGCTGAAACCAGATGCAAGCCTCGAAAGCGTGGACGGTGCGGGGTACCTGAACACAGCCGCAACGGACGGTGCACGAGTTGGTCTCATTCTTGCTTTCCAAAACCTTGACCCTACAGACATGCCAACATAAGTAATTCCTAGATGGGAGATGAATGTTCGTATTTCATTACTGCTTATGAATGTAGTGAATTTTATATAGCACATTATATTCCCAATAAATTCCCAAATGTAAAAGCCAGAGTGGGCTACAAGATGGTTAAAAAAATCTATACTGCAATGAACACAATCGTTATTGAATACAATTAAGTTTAATAGGACTGAAAAATTAAAAAGGAGGGTACTTTGAATCTCCAGAACCGTAACATTCATTTGCAAATTGCTGTACTGGCCGCTCACGGTAGATCCCAGTGATTCAGTCACGTTAGATGATGACAGAAATGACCTGCTCAGCCAAGTAGCGTAGCTCTTTCTTCAAGAAGGCCAGTGAAAACCTTTCTTTTCATGTTTCCATTTACATTTGGGCTACATTATCCTTTTTCTGAGTTTACACCTTACTGACTTTGGAAAGTAATCACTTTCAGGTGACAGAATGCTATTTTGTACAGAAGTCTCCAATAAAATCTGGAGGCAGTAAAATAGCTGGTTGCCGAATTTGTACTCTCTTTCTTTTTCTCTTTTTGTCATCTGCCTTCCAGAAACTGGCTTTGGTTGCTGTAACGCAAAATGTTTGATGGATGCATATTTTGACAGTCTTTGATACCTCCTTTTTGCATACATATTTGTCTACCACAGTTCTGGTAAAGAGGAATAATTCTCAATCTGTGATGACTGAAAAAACAAAGCATCCTTTGATCTTACTCTTCCCTAAACCACTCATTTTTCATCCAAGCCAAAAAGAAAAGGCAAAAAAAAAGCTTTTGTCATGGAAGTGCGTGTCAGTGGGAAAGAGCACCAAGCTGATGCCTGTGCTTCTCAAGCACGGAGAAAAGAGGGGGATACACATTCTTATTTGCTGACAGTAAACATTTGCTTGGCATTGATAACCACTGTCAAACGATGAAAAAATTAAAGCAAGAGCAGAGCAGGTGAGTTTCACTGACAACCGAACACGTAGCCAACAATTCCCACGCTCTGGTGCTCTGAAGGATACATTAGGAGTAATTCTCAGAAGACAACTAAATGGCCACAAAGAAGGGAGGTCAGAACTCACCTCCATCTTCTGAGCCTCTGACTCTGAGAAAATTTTTATAGCCGTGTTAGTGGTCTTTGCTCATTGAGCACGCGTGAGTACTCTGCCCTCGCAGCAAAAAAGGTCAACGGCATCACGATACAGGACAGGCAGCGGGTGGAAGGCAGTGATTCTTCCCTTGCGTTTGGCACTCGTGAAGTCACATCTGGAGTACTGTGTCCCCTTTTGGGCATTCCCACACACGAAGGACACAGACGTAATGAACTGTGTCTGATGGAGGGCCACCAAGACGGTCAGAGTTGGAGGCACGTGGAGAGGCTGAGATAATTGGGGCTCTTCACCGTTAAGCCAGGAAAGTTCAGGGGAGATCTCATCGCTCTCTACTACTCTCTGATGGGTACAGAGACAGCGTGAAAGGCGACAGACAAGCTGAACCACCAGAAATACCAAACAGATATAAGGATTATTTTTTTTCCTTTACTGTTATTATAATTATTTACTATGCACTTGTTGCTCAAAGAGGTTGTGGCACTTCCATCCTTGAAGACATGTTCCAACCTTGACAAATCCCTGAGCAACCTGATTCAATTGGACCTTGTTCGAGAAGGGGGTTAGACCAGATAAGCTCTAGGGGATCCTTACCAACCTATGTTAGTCATCAATTTTATAAATAAAGAACAGAGCAGTTACCAATAAACTTCTTCTCATACTCCATACAGTTTGATACCAAAGTGGCCACTCCTTCTTAGACATCATCTTGTTAGGTGGACTTTTTCCCTCTGTATCTTCACTTTTGGAACATGATGGCTAGGGAAGGACCGGAGATATCTGTCATCAATACAAACTACAGAAATAGAAGAGGTCCTTAGTTACGAGGTTCTCCTTGCCTAGCGAAGGCCGTGACCCGAAGCAAAACTGTGAGGTACTCTTTGGAGAACGCATGGCTCCGTGCTACTGCTCCGGTACCAGCAGAAGCGTCGAATTGCCTTACGTGGGGGGTGTGTGCTGAAATCAGAACTCTTGGAGGTTTTGCTGATCAACAGAAATACTTAGGCTGATCTCTGAAATCCACAGAAGGGAATTAAAATAGAGGACTTACCTCTTGACTGATGCTTCTGTTAAACTTCCCCCCCCTGCCCCAGGCTAAAATAATGAAAACCTGATAATCGTACCAATGGTGTGCGGCAGGAATCACACACAGGTTCTAGGCTGTATACTTAAATTGGAAGGCAACTACCAGCATAGTTGGATCTACAACTATATCCAGGTAGGCTATACACAATGGAAGTGAAGATTGTAAAGCAGAGGGTAAAAAGTAAAAAAAAACACACAGGACTTTGGTCCTTCATATAAAGCTGCACGAATGTCTGCCAAGCTACGTCCTCCCCACAAGATTAAAATGGGAAGCAAATGGATCTCAATGCCTCTCCGATACGGATATATTGGCGACATCAGTGAGGTCCTCTTCCTTGACAGGACAGTCACAATACGAGCCCTAGGAACTTTCAGGGTATGAATTAAAAGCCACCGGTTCTCACAGATTACTACTGTTCTTTTGGAATTTTCTGAAGAGCATACAGAAATGGCAACAAATAGAGCACATGGGTTTGTTTAACCAAAAGAAGAAGCAGCAGGAACACCAAGGCCCTCTGCACCAGGTCTGTCTTTCGGAAAAGCCGGAGAGAGGGGGGCAGGCGGAAAGATTCCACGTGCAAAGGATGCTATTTCTATTTATCTCTCGGAAGAGGTACACTGAGAAGCAGTTTTTGACTGCTTCCTTCAGCAAACTTTCTACTAAAACAAATTACTGTGTTTACAGCGCTAACCACCACAGTTTTTTTTACTGCAAACATTTGCAACCACACATACAAAAATACTCAACTTCACGTACCGTGTTCAGTTGATGAGGGAAATTTGCAAAGACATGACGACATTTCAAAGGAGCTCCCAAATTAGCAAAGCTAGCTAAAAAAGACTCTGCTGGTAGTCACGCTGGCGTTTTTTCCTCCTAGCTTACATTTATTAGTTCTTAAATTGCTTTCATAATGAAGGTGTGAGGAAGCAGTCTTACAAAAATTACAGTGGCCGTATACTTTTTGCATTTATCTGTCACCTTCCTACTTCCGAAAAAAGGAAGGTTCAGGTGCTTAGCCTAGGCAACAACCATTCTGCAATTGGGCTTTTTTGGGGGGTATTTTTGTTTCTCCTCCACAGTACAGTCCCTCCACTTGGAACTCAACAGCAACGCCAGGATTCTAAATGTACCAATTGTTGCATCTCATCAAGTGCATTAGAAATGGGAGACACTGAAAAAAAGCGAATCTCATTGACTTGCACGAGAGAGTCTCCAAGTGCTACAGCTGTTTCCATTCAGATACAGCAATTAATACTGACAGGACTGATTTGATCTGAACGCATCTAACATCATTAGCGCTGAAGACAATCTCATTCGTGCTTAGCAACTGAAGTGGGCTGATAGAGACGCAAATCCTAACTACGGTTGCCTTAACCAGTAAGGGGAGGAAGAAACTTCACAAAGTCCGTTTCTAATCTCACTACGCACATTTTCTTAATCCGCAAATCACTGCATTGTAGCTAGTGAGAGAAACGTAACGGGAGCAAGTCTTTTGCTTGGGAGAAGTATCCTAGAAGGCGATCTTAAGTTAATTTTCTGAAATACGTAGGAGCCGTACTGGAGGATCAGTAAGCGGCCTCTGTTCCTTGGCAGAGACATCAACGAGACCTTGAAAATCACTGCTTCGCCTAGTCAAGTGCAAAACAACCACGTACTCCAGAATGACACCGCCGTGTATATATTTCAGGGATGGGGAGTCACCAACCGAAGATAAACTATACATAAATATATATATATATATATATGATATATCGATGCTTCAGTGCATCTATTTCCCTCGTATGCAGGGCTTCTTACAGGAACACCCCACTACGGTATTCTATCGGAAAGCACTTCTTTCGTTGTTCAACGTCCAGTTTCCACATGGATTTTAAAAGGCTTCCAGCTTCCCGTTTTGACACTAGAACTCTTCACCCAAGTGCACGCCTGTAACCGAGTACGTTAATCGCTTTTTTCCTTCAGGTAAAAGCACAGCGATCGCCGAGGTAGACAAGCGAAGCAACAAGCTTCCCCTTCAGACTGCAGACATCTCCATGACATTAATTCAAAAGAGATTATTAGAAATTCAAAACAGAAAGCGGCAATGGTTGGTTTTTTTTCTCTATTCGCAGAAAAGGCACTCTTCCTCTTCTCATTCTTATGTGGGACGCAGTCTAGAAGAAATTTCGAAAAAACCAGCCGTACTGAATCCCACGCAGTCTGAAAGAAATCATTAAGATAATGACGTGATGGTACACGTGGGTGGAGTGACAGTGTTACACCACAGTCAGGCTCCCGTGGAATAAAAATTAAATAAATAAATAAAAGCATGTACTTGGCCTTCCTGTTAAAGAAGTCCATATGGTACCTCTGTTTGTGGCAGCTCTTTTATGTACATTAAAAAAAGCCACTAACCCATGTATTGGTAACTGCCGTAAAAGTTTCACTAATAAATAGTATTAGTGAGCATTAAAGCAGTAATTTTTTAGTCTGAAGGAAAAATTGACTGTGAACAGCCATCCTTACTAATTAGGCAAAAGTTCTTCAAGAATGCAACACCTTGCTTTTCCAAAGACAGCCATCAGCCTGTACGGTCACTACCTCCTACCGTTCACACGTTTTCTTTTTTTTTTGCAAAATAATTCATTCTGACAAAAAACCCCAAACCACACAATCAAAAGGTAAAAAGCGGCGTATCTATGCTGAAGCCCTGATTCTTTGAAGAGGATGAAAACCAAAGCCATGCAGACAGTTGTAGCTGAAGGGCATACGCTTGGGGGGCTGGTCCTGTGTTTGTCCTGAACGGGACTGACGGGGAAACGGAGGAAGCTCCAGCCAGCGTAGAATGCTTCCTTGCAGAATTGAGCTTTCTGCCAAGATGGTATCTTTGGGTTAGGTATTAATTTTTATTGCAGAATCCCGGCTTCTATTTTTTCTGTTACTATCGAGATACAGATACTGGTATCTGCAACTCTGAAGTTGTTCAAATGCCTTCTCGTTCGCATTGCAATCACAAGCTCCTGAGGTATGTCTGGCATTGTATACTCCGTTTCAGGCAGAAGTGGACTAACTGCAATTACAGGAGGCCGTAGTTTCTAACAGTACAGCACTACAACAACAAAAAAATAAAAATGCCACCAGTTTATGAAAGCGATATTGTCCTTAGAACCAAGAATTCTGCAAGCGCTTCTTGGAAATGTTCAGGATTAAGAAGAATTTTTCCAAATCCGCATAGAAAGATTTCCTTTGTAGCCCTTAAAAAAAACCCAATGAAGCAAACCCCAGTGCATGTCAGAGCACGAGTACGCGTGTTGTGCCCTACAGCCGCTTCCAAGCCAACAGTCAGAGCGCTTACCCGTGATACATATAAATCAGATACAAGTTCCTGTTGAGCCCAGTTAGGATTTGAGTACTGAACCCTGAGTGCCTTCACTGCAGACAGACTGTTTAATGTTTTCGCATTGCTAGTCTGAAATCTGGTCTTGAAGAAGTCTTCACAGATTTCTTTGAAAAAATTAAGTCAGAAAATAAACCAGAATGTAATCAGAACATGAAAGCACGCAACTGATTGTGGAAGGTCCAGGTTCTAACTTACCTTCGCTGAACGCAAATATTTCAGTTTCTATGCTCAGAAATGAGCTATTCTACATTTCCAGGGGAAAGAACGTATTCGTATTCTAACCAGCAAAACCACGTTGGGCCTAAGAAAGCTCTTGGGGGTGGGAGGTGGTGTTTGTTAAAACCATAAACTGCCCTGGAAAAATTTGCAGATGAAATAAGATGACTTTACTTAAATTAAGTCAGTTTTGCAAGACAAGTCCTAATCATTGATATTTGCCCATATCCAGAACCCGCAGCAGTAACTTTTCAAGTGAGTGGAAAAGTTTGCCCGTCCCATGGAAGAATGAAGAGCATCGGTGTCTCTTTTTAAGCTGAAGAGTCCGAGACACAGGGTTCATGTTGTCACCACCCCTGCTTCCACTAACCAGCCTCATCTAGAAGAAACAAGCTCCACATACGCACCGCCACTGCCCGAACAGCTCACAGGACTGAAATTCCTGAAGCAAAATGGGAAATAAGAAGGCAGCTTCCTTTCTAGGCATTTTGCATTCTGAATGGTGTAAAAATGAAATATTCAGGAAGATATGAATCAGGAATAAAATACTGAGTCTTTCCCTCTAGGAAACTCAGGCTTACCTTTCAACCCAGCAATGGAGATTTTCTGAAGAGAAATTATTCCCCCACGTGGTGTTTTTTTTTTTTATGTTTCCTTTACAGACAGCTGGCTTGCAGCAAATCATTTTTTCCGAGTCATATGTTTGCATAGCTTCAGCAGATATCATGCAACTTTTACTTACATACAGACATTTTATCTTAAAATCCCCTTCAACAGTGACCCTACTCATTTCAACGTTTTTAATATGGAATCTTTACAGCGATGCTTACAAATCAGTTCTTGAGCATGCAAACGACCAAGTATGTTCCCGTCCTTCCAGATTTGTTTACATCTATTCATCCAATTCATTGCACCAGAGCCATACATTTATCTTGTGAGCTTGTGTTTACACCTAGAAGTTTGAAAACCACATCCCCCAACATGCTAAACATATGCAAAACACATACTTACAAGTCAAAGACTAAGTAATGGAATCCTTCTTCTGATATGCTGTCATGAAGCCGCACTATTGAAAGGGGGAAAAAAAAAAAAAAAGATAAAACATCAGATAAAACATCATTTTTTTAATGTCCTTAATGTCTGTCTGTGATTTAGGGGGAGAAGGGAGGATTGCAGCTCTACTGTAGAGCTTGTATTGCATCTGTGTGTGTTCTCATCTGGTTTTTTTGGTTTGTTTGTTGGTTTTTTTTTTTAATTCTCCACCCTCAGAATCACATTTTTCATAAGGTGAGATAAACAAAGAGCCAAAGACTGTTGGTGCAGCTCATGGTACAGATATTTTCAAAGGAGCTCTGCTTTTGCTGGGCCACAGCAGAACGCTGCCGTCGTTCCCTACCACCTCCTGCACGGACGGGCACGTACACACACTCTGCACCGTGCCTTTGCCCTTCAGGCGTTAGCCAGGACTAAACAAGTACTAAAAGTACAGGCAGACTTCATCTTAATATATTGTATGAATATGATTCACCTCCCTTTTTCCTAGGCAGAACCTCCGATCAATCTTTTGAATAGCGCACGCGGGAGTCCCCAGTCGCCAGACTTTTATTATCTTAAACCAGTATGCTTCATGTCATACAACTATTTTCTCAGCAGTATTACATCTTAGGAGTTGTAAATAAAACAAGATGGGGAGAAAAGAAGCCACAATTAATCACAGATGTCAGCAGAATAGCAAACTTGAAGGGCTATGATAATAAATTCCATAATCAGACAGTAGGTGATGGTTTTGAAAGAGAAAGCATCGTTGCAAACTGAGAGCATTTGACTAAATGCTAAAATAAATATACTAAAATAAATGGGGTCAAAAAGCAAGCGAGCTGTATTCCTGCTCAATTTCTATTACATATATATATACACACACACACAGGTATCTCCCTCTAATCTTCTTACCTGCCATCCGCTTCAACCACATGAACGGTGGAAGAGTCGCCAAGAGCTCATGTGGCGAAAGAGAGAAAGTCGCAAAGAAATAATGATAAAATCTACCGGCAGGCTGATGCCCGCCGACCCAAAAAGCCATTTCGGGACTTGCCAGAAGCAGAAGGAGGCGATGCCTAGAAAACAGCCACCAGCCTTCTCCAGCGCTCGTCACGGCCGACGAACTTACAGCATCCTAAGGATGAAAAGCCCATGGCGTGCGTACGGACACCCATGTATCCGCACCTAAAAGCCTTCCCCGAGAACGCAGCAGTCAGCTGCAGAACCTTCATTTTGGATTTTAAGAGTTCAAATCACATCGTGGCGGAACTACGAGTTAAGCCCTGCGGTTTCTCTTAATTACTTTAAATGAAACGGCAATTTCCACAGCTAATTTCCCCACAATACACGAAGCTTTGTCAGTAGTTTGATCCAAATCATTATCACTTATAGAAGCAAATAAAAAAATCAGGGTACCCTGAAACTGCTTCATGTTCAAAACTGAGCTGATGAAGGAAGTGGTGAAGAAAAGGATTTTCGGATTTCCCCAGATGGTAGAGCTTTATGTATTAATCATTTTTTTTTATACACTACATGACATTAAAAAAAAATAAAATCAAATAAACATGACTTTTTTACTTAATAATATTTAGCCCGGGGAAACATCTTGTGTTTACACAATACTGAGGAGAAAACCAGCTCTTGGCTGACTCACTGCCCAGAGCTCGTGATGATTCAGAAGAGCCAAGTAGGTCTAAATCAGAATTTGTGGGTTTGGCTGGTGCTATATTCTGGACTTGTCTAAGTCTTTACAAAGTGCAAGCCTTGAGCATAAAAGACCGAGGTAGTACATTGCTCCTGTGGTGAAAAACACCCCATTTATAGACATTAGTGGGACATATGTTTAGGATATTGGAATCGAATAGTGTAAATATCAAATAGTATCAAAATGTAATAAATTAAAAAACTGGAGCATGCTGGAAGAGTAAGAACAATTAATCAAATAACAACCGTGTATCATTGGCAAGAAATAGGAACCTTCCAGCTCTTTGTACTAGTGCATTTTCAATGTCTCCTTAAAGACACATTATTTATTGACGTCTTCAGTTATTCCTGTCCTTTAACAAAATCCCACAGAACAAAGGGCAACACCCCAATACACCCAAATCAACTTTCTTTCCGGTTGCGTTCTTGGGAGTTGAGATTTCAACACCCCCAAACGTCTGGGCTTTAAAGCAAACCAAATGTGAGCTGAGACACCAAGGAGCAGCCTAGAAGAGCATCCTGAAATTTCTAGCTCAGAACAGAGACCCCTAAACCATCTGGTTTTCGAGCACACTACTTTGTATGGCAGCATCAAAGACACTCCTCATGAACGAGCGCTCAGAAATCAGCAACGGGATTGAGTACCCGCCCGTGGGTACGTCACAGAGACGCAACATAACCCTAAAATAGTAAATTTTGCAGTGCAGCTAAGCACGTTTTGCATATGCCTCTCCAAAAAAGTTTACAACTTTTTAAGATTTAATTCATAGCAAATTATACCTTTTGATAGGAACTGCCTGTTCCTGAAATAGATTTGCAAGAACTCAAAGCATGGTTTTTCTGCGAATACTTTTTCTTGGATTCACAGCAGCATTCCTCTCCTTGCTGCTTGCTAACAGCATTATATTCAGAAGGGCAGAAGCTTTCATATTCAATTTCCCGTATCATGGTTGGATATCGAGAACTACCAAATACTTCTGGTGAGGCAGGATACTTGCTGCCAAATGCTTTCAAAGAGCTCCGAAGCGTGTAAAAACCACCCAGATTTTCGAAACGTCTTTAGAGAGTTGAAACAAACTATTAAATCTTAGAATTTAGAAATGAAATCCCCCTTTAAAATATGACTTTGGTATTAAAACCAGACAGCCTCGGCTTGAGCTGGTGGCTACAAAACAGTCAAAGAGCCTATGTTCATACGCAGACTTGCTCAGTTCTCATGGTTCACTCACCCAACGGCTCCAGCGTGGATTTCCTAGTGACCAGGTGAAGCAAAGGACCGTATTCTTTAATCACCGCTGTATTTTGTCAAGCACAGAATGACTTTCTTATGCACATTTCTGAAAAAGTCATTTCCTAGGTAAGGATGAAGTCAACGCAAACCAACAGTCATTAAGGCAGTTTTACAACTGCGACCCCGAAGCGACAAAGTCGTAGGAGAAGGGCAAGCTGCATTTCATTGCCTTTGGTTCGAGGCAGTACAAACCCCCTTTCTCTCTCTCTAAGTAATCGTGTCTACCACCCGACCAGCTAGGAATATCTCTATTTAAGCCTGCAACAAATACTTCATATTTACACAGACTACAACAGCCACACTAGCACAGCTATCACGTACAGGTACCAGCAGCTCCATAGCTCCATCCTGCGACCTCAGAGAAGGTAAATACCTTGACCACCACCACGCAGCGTATCAAAACTAGAGGCAAGGGTACAAGTTTTATCTCAGATAGAGGCATTTGTCGTACCCCCATTAGGAAGCAAGCCCAGCACGGCACCGTGCGACGAGGCTCCGAGGGGTGCCTGCCCAAAAGGGGAGCCGCTCCGGCTCTGTCACATCCCCTTCCAGCAGAGAGCTTCTTTGCTCAGTGCCACACAGAACCATCCCTCCCTTCAGACTAGAAAGGGATGGCGATTTGAGATGACGGAGGATGTTTTTCCTCAGCCTGGCGAGGCTATTTCCTTACTAGCCAAACTCGAACCTGACACGTCCATGGGGATATCTTCTTCAAGGACCACATTCTTTCTTTTTCTTTCCTCCCAAATGTCTGAATCATAGAAGTGAGACAAATCCTTCTCTGAATCAGGATCACATGCCCCAGATTGTCCCTGAAAAGGAAAACAGGCTCAGGCAGCCAGGGAAGATCAAAACTGCCTTTTGGCAAGCGCTTACGTTGGCTTCTTCGGTCGGTCCAGATATGGTTTTATGCCAGCAAATCTGCTAGGTGAAAATCCCAAATAAGCACGGGCAAAGGAGAAGACACGAGGTCCTGGCAGTGTGGAATAAAAGGTCCATGACAGGCACAGGGCCCGTCCAGCACGGCGCAGGCTTTGCCACTGCGCTCTGCCTGCAGCCCAGCTCTTCACTGGGACACACAATTTGGGAAGCTGTTCACAAAGTTTAAGAAGTGATTCACTACAAAAAGCACTCGTGCATTCATTGCAAGCATATATAGCTCTTTACGCACACGCATCGGGCGGCATTCAGGCACGACAAACCCAAAGGCAGCAATTACAGAGATTATTCATCCAATATAAGAACTCCCATCAGTAACCCACACGGCAACTCCTGTTTCTCCAGAGAGGCAAAAAGCATTCATGAGTAGAAACAGTTCCATCTATCTTTTTTGAAACGATAACAGTTAGACCTAATCATTATTAATTGGAGTTGTTTTCGTGAGTGCTGCCATGAACAAATGCGTTACATGGCGGAAAGGACACACGAGTAATTGTTTTTTCCCTCCTGCCTGCTGTAGCACTATGGTCATTCTCCTCCAGCAGGTTACAGAGAAAGTTTTTTTAACAACCTTTGACAACAAAGTTGTTGCTCCTCAGCAAACCGCTTGAAATGCCTGATAGGAATCCAGGGAGCGTACGGCTCTTTCTTTTTGAAAAACACTACGAGCCCACAACAGAGCAGGAATACCTCTTGGGCTTCAGCACTGATTTTCTTCTGAAATACTTCCCCATCACCTCTCTGTGATAATTACTGTAATCATTTAAGGGAGAACTCCCTATTAGCTTTATTAGCTTGGCGTTTAGCCGTTAGCGTGGACAAGCGCCAATCAGACAGAAAAGTAAAACGATCTCTTTTGTTTGACTTCTTGTGCTGAACTATAGTATTTTGTGTCTGTTCTACAGAAAACAGCTTGATATAATGGCCAGGCAACCTTATTACCTCCTTTCCACATACTTGCAATGAAAATCAAATTCTTCCAGGAAAGGAGACAAGTCAAACAGTATATAAAGTCAGAGGAAAATTCTTCAGAATGAAGATATCTAATTGTGTCTACAACTATAGAATCATTGAATGTTTTGGGTTGGAAGGGA